ATAACTATTTTTGTATTTTTATATATTAGCACATAATCATATGAGTAATTAACTGAATATGTACTAATGTTATAAAGGTATATACTATTCCTCGAATGGATAAAGATACTTAATAATTATGTGTTGTGTGTGACTTTTAGATATAAAATTGCTGATTTAATACTGCCGATTATTAATTTATATATTAAATTATGTTTGTTCATAGCATATACTCATATCATACTCATTTATTTCTGTTGTATCTATTAATTTCATATCACATGGCCAGATTTGACAAATTTGATATATCCCTAATTATAGGATGTGCACAATATTTCAGTTCTGTAGCACATATTAGAGTACTACTAGATTGACGTTTGGCAAATGTACATCACATCACTTGTAATTAAAAATGTCATCAATTTAATATTTATACTTGCAATGGACGAATATTAAGTAATTATTTTACCGAGTTCCGGCGGTTCTACATAATTATTTAATACATGCGGCGCTTCATTGAATTCATCAAGTTCATCACCATTATCCGCGCCTTGCGCGAGTAAAAAATATTGTTCACTTCTGGTGGGCCATAATAAATGAGCCATTACACAATAAGCAAAACAGTCTGCCGAATATGTTATACCTATAAATTGACAATGCATTAAATACGAAATATAGCTGAAGAAAATTAATTTTAACATTTTACAAACTTTACTCACCTAACAACAGCTTAAACCTCCATAGTGCGCTTATTTGAAGCGCTATAAGTGCTATAATGGGTAAATATATAAACCAAACTAATGACGATGCACCAAAGTGAAGGAGAAAGTTCAATTTTTGAGTATTATGCTCGTATGTCATGGTATTTCGAAGTTCATATAGAAACCATACCATTATGGCACTTCGGAATAACAATATAAACCATCCTGGCCAAGTTTGATATTCATCTATGTCTTCAATAATATCAACTTCTGTCTGAAAAAATAAATTCATAATAAAAAGAGTTTACACTTACTGCAATTTATAAACAAGATATATAAAGAATAGGAAAAATAGTTACCATATTCCATACATATAACAAAATGTGCACAACCCCATAACAAAACCATATTGCAAATACCAGTGGCTTCCATGTTAATTCCATTCTTGTTACCGCCCATCCTTTGGCAAGTAAGAGTAACAATAACATAAAGGACGTCTAGAAATAAAAGTAATTTAACATTAAAATTTTATGAAAATAACATCAAAAAGTATTCTTAGATACTTATTTTTAAGACCATCTTAAGTCAATCACAAAGCTGTATTAGCATCTCAAGACATTACTTAAGATGATCTTAAAATAAGAACCGACTGTGAATATAAATACCGGCATTAGCTTATGACATCTTAAAATTGTAATTAAGACAGTCCTAAATATAAATAGCAACTATGAATACTGATTTATGAATCTTATCGCACGAATATAATAAGCAATATTAATGATTTTTTGATTATAATTAAAAAATCGTTATAATAATTATGGCTTCAACATTTTCGTATTAGAATTTTTTGATTTATCAGAATACGTTATTAATATATTTGATGGTGTGAAGCCCTGCATATGTATATACATACATTAAAAACATGAAAAATAAATATACTAAAAAAAAAATATTTTTATGAACACATTACAAATACATTTTTAAATAAATTTAAAAAGATTAAAAAGTATGGCTACATATTGTATAGAATATGTTAGATTACTTTAATTTAACAAGTTCAATAATATTTGATTATTCAGAAGATGTTTTCCTTACCCGTGAGAGAATATCAAAAATATCACCTGCAACTTCTAATTGCTCATAGCCTACTCCGTCTAGTGCAAATTTCAACACGTGTATCAAGATTAAACATACTGCCACAAATTCTAATAATAAACTTGCAGTGAACAATCTTGTTACAGGATGCTTTTGCAATCTTACTGCATACAACTGCAGTGGCACCAATATGATGTAACACACAAAAAACAGCAAGTATAGTTCGATAGTATTCTGTCTGTCGTATGAGAACTGATAAGTCAGACTGTTTAGGCCACTGACGTTCGGATTGCCGTTTACTAGCCAGATGTCATATTCCAATTCATCGTGTCTGCTATAATATTCCCATTGGCAAGTTGTTTTGTTCCTATAACATGCTACCAAGCTCATATACCAAAATCGTGGTTGCCAGAAGTCCTGTATAACGTATGTAAACTGATGTCCCTTCACGATATTCCATACAGAATCCTCATCTGGGCATAATTTGTCTCGAGGACATGGGACTCGTCTTTAAAATGCAAAGTTAACATTAGTTACTACTTACATATGATATGGATGCTTTCCAGCACAAGAAATACAGATAAGAGATATTGATTTCCAGCAAAAAATATAATATAACATAGCGATCATGTTTATTTAACGATGACAAACAACAAGGATGTAATGATTCATTGTATTATTATGATTGTATTCAATGATTGATGCTCATAATGCCTTGGATTTCATCTTTATTATTTATCTAATGTCAAATAAAGGTAAATGATGCTCATAAGAATTGTGAACACTTAATGACATACAGTCTATGCCATATGTGTCTCTTGCTGGAAAGCATCAATAATGTAATAGATTGAAACGTCAAAATATACCTCAGAAAGTCTTGACCCTCCTCGTTGCAGTCTGGATCGTAGGAACTCTTCTTTAAAGTGTTAAACATATAGGCGCACGCTGCGCTCTTATCCATCAGCGTACGATTGCCGTAATACTCGAGGAAGTGGCCACGGTCGAGTATCGCCAGGGTGATCGGCACGTCGAAGTCCGTTCTCGCGGTCACATTGCCGAAAATATAACCATACGAGTCCTTTTGCCGATGACGGTCGGTCTTCTGGAAGCCGAACTTGATGAGGAACCGGAAAAACTCTCGCGTGTTGAACGTGCCGGTGATATGAGTGGAATACGCGTAATCCGGCCGCAACGACAGGCAGAGCAGCACGCAGAGAACGCGCACCAGCCGTCGACCGACAGTCATTTTCCAGGGTGGACCCAGTCTCCGCTGATCCCGTCGTTCGCGACCGCGCCTCGCCTCGCCTCGCCTCGCCTAACCCCGTCGCGCCTCGTGTCGCGAGTTGTCAGGAGCCGTCGGGCACCCTCAACATCTTCCTGAGCGATATCGCACACAGCTGTTGCACGACGTGCGACGCAGATGCTTCTCCATACCACTCGCGGCCTTCATCGACACCTCATCGAGACGCGACGATATCCTCCCGGGAGCATCTCCGTTCGGACATTGTCGTTGTCGTCGTCGTTACGTGGCGTTGTCGCCTCCGGCGATATCCACCGAGAGATAATTGTCGATTTGTCCTGCACGCAAAAAAAGATAGCCGTTAATGTACACGCCGTGTGTACTCTTACTCTCCCTTGACACTTTGAACTCGCCTTTTCCTATCGATTTTCCCCACCCAAACAGACCGTTCGCTTCGACTGCTCCAAGGAAAAATTGACGCTTCCCAACATCGTCTGGTGAAAACTTTCTTTGGTACGCGATTGCCGTAGTTACTTGTTATGTAATAACAGAAGAAAATTTTAAAAAGCACTCGGTTAAACAAGCAATGCGGATCAGAGATATCACGAAAATCCTGATACTGATAAAATGCCGGCGACACGAAAATTCACTACATTCTTTCGTGGACACGGTAACTTTCGTTAAATCGCTAAAAATAAACGGAAATATAGTACAACGACATGCACTGCCGCGTGCGATTTAATCTATCATTACTTAATTGCTAATCGCTATTAATAACGATCGAAGTCTATCTCTAGTTACGGCGACGCAATTTTCTCATTTTCGTTTGTAATCAAAATAGTTACTAGTATAAAGTTACAAGAGTGAGCAATGTCAATATTTCTTACAAAATAAGAACGATTTCACTTATATTTGAATTTCTTACATTCTTGAAATTCCGACTTTATTTAACAAACACAACATTGTAACCGTTTATTTTGAGAAGTTTGTTTGCGCCATCTTATGACGAGTGTCGTAGCATCTTTTGGCGGGACGTGTTGCGTCTAGAGACGCCATTTACGACGCCCAAGCCGCAAAAGCGCGCCAAAACTGCGTGGTCATACGTGACTCGTAACGAAGGCATACTAAAGAGCCATGGCAACAGTACAAAAAAACTGTAATCAGTAAAAAATGTAAGCAATAGTAAATCTAATGTTGATTTTCTTACTATTTACCTACTATCTTTCCTGCGTTTGTACAAACTGCCACGATTCCGAACTACAAGCGTGATTCTTACTGACAAAAACTAATTTAATATAATGTATTCAAAATTACTTTCTTCGAGTCGACCGAATGTTATTTTTATCATTTAATGAATAAAAAAGAACGATCACTCGTTCCGTATAGGAAACATTATTTTCTGAAAGGAAAGCAGCGAACATAAAAGTTTCTCGGAGGAATGCTGTTCTTATAGGTTATAAATTAAAAATATGAAATTGAAAACGTAGGACATTTCGACGTAAGACAATTTTTGGCCCTGAAAAGGGCCGATTGATAGAAAGAGGCAATTTAAGCACGCTCTCCACGGATTCTGCGGGCCAACTGGATATCTTTGGGCATGATGGTAACCCTCTTGGCATGAATAGCGCAAAGGTTGGTGTCCTCAAACAGACCGACGAGATAGGCTTCGCTCGCCTCCTGAAGGGCCATGACGGCCGAGCTCTGGAAGCGGAGATCGGTCTTGAAGTCCTGAGCGATTTCACGGACCAGTCGCTGGAACGGAAGCTTGCGGATCAGAAGCTCCGTGCTCTTCTGGTAACGACGAATCTCACGAAGAGCGACGGTTCCAGGACGATAACGATGAGGCTTCTTCACACCTCCAGTTGCGGGAGCACTCTTACGCGCCGCTTTCGTCGCCAACTGCTTACGTGGGGCCTTGCCTCCGGTGGATTTGCGAGCAGTCTGCTTGGTTCTTGCCATCTTGAATGAATTCGAATGCTATTCGTACTATCCGTACGATATGACGAGCTATAGCGATATGTGCTCTTGCCGAAAAACACTTCGCTTATATGGGGTCGCTGGCCCCACACGCGGGACGCTGATTGGCTGGCGCCATAGTGGTGGGGATGGACGCAGAAGTGGCTATACAGCCAGCGCTGCCAGCAGTGCTAACGTTTACTACAGAAACTACAAATTCTGATTTTGTTGGCGGTATTCCAGTGCATTTAGAGTATAAGTAGCTAAAGTGTTCAGTCTCTGATGCTTTAAAATATTTGAATGATATGAATAACTAAACCTTTTAAAAAAACTTAAATAAAAATGTTCAGAGCATTTGAGGAGCATTAAAATTAGAAAGAAAATTTATTAAAAAAAAACAAGAATGTTAAAGTAATTATTTAAAAGTAATTTATCCGGCCTTGAAAATTTTTTTAACTTAACTATGTACTTTCTTTGGATATTTGATACCATATTATTGTTCTAAAATTCAATTTTTTAGCGTTTATCAAAAATATTTTTATGTAAAGAGAACTGTAAACAATCAAAATATAGTACAATGATTATTCAGCGATAGTCATGGTATACTTTGAATTAATTTTTAAATTATAAACTCATCGTGTAACAATCTCTCGTGTAAAACCCTCTCCATACTGAAAAATATATATACAGCAGCGCTATAATGAAATTAAATGCACCAGATTTTTTACATTTTATTTGCTACTATAAAGTTGATAATGTAAAAATATGTTAAACTGTATAATTTGACTTTTATTTTTTAGTATAAATATCACATTATATTATTTAATATACATTCATATAATTTATTTTATTTGTTAATATTTTTTTAAAATAAACTACGACTGACTGTATGTAAAATCTTTTGATTGTTACTTATAGACAACTTTAGTACATAATTATTAAAATCACTGTTACACAGTTTTACTTAATTCTTATTTATATTGTTACAAATTTATTGTTAATTGTATTTAATAACCTAAAAACTAATTTAAAGTTAGACCAAATGATATATTATAATATGCGAGTAATATTGCATCGCAAAACATTAATCAGATTATTTCTTTTATTTATGAAAATTTATTATGAAAATTTGTGTAATAATTTATAGAAAACTTTGAAATTTTAAATCACGATAATATATTACTGAACTATTATGCTTTTCAACTAATCATCCTTGCTAATTATATTGTATTTCAATTTATACACATATGTACATCAAATATGATATATTAATAATTAATTGGTAACGAATTAAAAATTAATCTCCTTTGAAAACAGTTGAAAATTAAAACTCTAATTAATGATAAATAACAAGACTTTTCTTTCTTTTTTCATTCGGACTTGAGGCCCATAATAGATACGTGGTCATTAATATAATACCTATATAACCATCCGAAGTTAGCACGGGTATAGGAGAAGATGTAAGAGGAAAGCATGAGAAGGCATGAAAAAACTTGAAAAGACATGAGAAGGCATAACGAGCGCACATGTATATCTATTTACATATTTATATATACGTAAAATATACATATTTATATATCTATAATATACATAACGTGACTTCTTCATTAGCAAACAATATTTTTTAAATGTTAATTTCTCATTAATTTTATATTTTTCATGATTCTTTTTCAAAATTCATTAATTTAACATTTAT